AACATTCTGCAAACAATCTGCATACATTAGATTTGTTTGTAGACCACACACATGTAAAAAAGTATCGCAGCCAGCATATAGCCGTTTATATCCATATCATAATTATGATTGTTTGTACGATTAGTTTCACCCTTCGGGAGCACCATACAATGATCTTAGATATTTACGTGCTGTGATCAAAGTTGAGCATGACGTGTAATACGTGTAGGATTGCGTAGGGCCTCCTCAACTGACAACTGCGCAAAGATGGCACGTGATTGGTGGCTTCCACATCCTCGTTTTGCTGAAATCACTCAAATTCGGCCGGATATAGAGCCAGACGATCTCTAGGACGCACAATGCAGCACGAAAGGTTTGGTATCAACCACTAATTCATCAGAATTTGACGTCATGGCAAGGGTCGAAAGTCGATATCCTTTGCTCATGACTGAAGGCCGAGCTCGTAATTGGCGCCACAGAAACCCTGCATATGCACAACGGAATTTGTAAGGACAAGTATCATTTGGCAGACGTTCGTTGATATTTTGGGTGTGCCTCTGACAAAATCTGAAAGAAGCACTGGTAACTAACATTTTAGACAGGGTTGTTGTGCCATTTTGATCACCATCCTCTAAACATTAGGCCGGTCTTATGGATGACCGCCATACAGAGCATGTGCCGCTTATGATTTCTTCCATCAAGAGGAGGCATCTCTTCATTAGCCCGCCAAGACTCCAGATCTCAATATGGGTCACAGAACATGCCAGAGAGATCTTCCAAGTGCATAATGATGTGATGTATTAGAACAAGCCTTCAATTAAGAATGGAACGCAGTACCTCAATGCCAAATTCAACGTCTGATGCAGCCATTGTTCTCGGTTATTGATATTTATGTGCTTCCTTGGGGTTTGCTTACTACTAGAATAAAGTAACTGTGCATTATTTGATGTTTTGCCATTTTTAATGCACAATGATAAGAACACGATCTGTGGTGGTTTTCTTCATCACTATTTAACTTTTGACAGGATAATTTCGAATTCAGCATGATCTGACACGAGGCATTGTGAAGAAAAGTGTCAAACGTCGTGGTATAAAAAAAGGCAGTTCACAAATTCCGTAAAGTATGTGTCCACCATTGGCGTTGATGCAGGCTTGACAAAGACGACACCTAGACGACACTATGCAATCGAAGAAGCTGAAATTACTGAAAGGGCAATTTTAAAGTGTGCAAATAATTAACTACAAGCTATGAAAACTTTAGAAGTCCATCATATCACAGATCTGGCGATAATCACATGTATGAAACATATCGTTACCAATCTAACGGTAATTTAATATATTAATGTATGGGGAGGTAATCCAAATATCTGCGTCCTATTACCCTACTACATACCCAAACACTGCAAAATTACATGCTTTTTTTCTTGGAACATTTTCTGATTACAATGCAAATGTTTCTACGTGTGGGGAATAAATTCACAAATGTCCAAGTTTTGTTTATGAGAACAAACTGACAAATGCTTGCGTCTGACACCACGACCGTCCCGTATGCAACAATTCCGTATGAAATATGTTCTTTACATTCATGTGGCACCTACATTGTATCAAGCAAAAATTGTTTAGAAATTGTAATCTCTGTTTTTATGCGTATTTCTGTTATTTGGAAAAGCAATGAAAAATGACCTTCAGCTGGACATCTGGAATGTCCATCACATGAGTTCATGTAGTATGACCAGGAGTTCAGATGACCAGTGGATGTGTGTTACTTTCCACGTTATGCTGATTATGCTACAGCACCTACATGTGCTCAGTAAGTTAACTTCAATAACTATCACCGGTAGAAAATGAAACAGCGAGCGTGGTACTTATGGAGATTTCTGCCATAGTGTGTGTGTTAACTGACATGTATACAACGTGGGCGCTTTGCCCTAAGATCTTAGAATTCCGAAATGTTAAATGCAGTTGATCCAGCATTGCCTCAAATGACGTTTTTATTCATTAGTTAGAAAGGAATAATTCTATTCTTTATAACTTTACAATTTGTAAAACTTGCACTTCTTAAAAGAAATACAATCCTTAATGTTTAATCTCGTAAAACAAATGTCTATAGTACATGGACAGATGGCCTTTATACTGGAATAAACAAGTGTCCTCAAGTTAAAGATGCGTTTGTTCACATCAACACGTCCTATGTCAACGTAATCTAACACCACACGATTCATGAGGAAATATTTCTGTTAGTTATTCAATTAGTCTCACGTCAGGTTTTGCTTAACAACAACAGATGTTTGGCTGTGCTACTCTAGAACTCACTTTCGGTTTCCATTATCTTTTGAATAAATCTGCACATGAAATGTGTTTGATTTCCTGAGTGTTTACACACCACAATTGCCTAATAGAAACTTGCTCCCAAACACTGTATGCTTTCAAAATGGGGCGGTGGCGTAGTCTAGTGGTTAAAGAGTTCGCTTGTCATGCCAAAGACCCGGGTTCGATTCCATCACATGTGTAAAGCTCATTCCCGGTGTCCCGCGCCCTGATGTTGCTGGAATATTGCTAGAAGCCACTCACTCACTCAAGATGGTCGAAGGAACAATGTCACATCATCAGATGCAGATGCAGCAAATTATATAATTACTCCCACGGAGATATCATTTGAACATTTTAAAAACATCCCAAAATATGTCATGATGTAATCGATTTGGGTTTGAACAGGAATTTGTAACATTCGGGAAAGGTATGCAGTGGAAGCCCTCTAAACCGGCATTTGCTGGGACCGGCACAAAATGCCGGTATAGAGGATGTACCGGTTTAGAGGGCTTCCACTGTATTATCGACATAACATTAGGGAACTAAACTAGACGCAACGACAGACACTTTAAACTTGAAAATGCAAAAATAATATACATGTATATTCCTAATCCTGACTATCCTCGATACAGATTCCTTTTAGTATAATGGGGAAACGGAAAATAGCTATGAAAATTATTGTGCCAGACTACATCGTTCGCAAGTGGTCAGGGATTATCTTCGACAAGAAAGCGTACTAGACTGCCAAGCCACTTGACACTTTATCTTATGGAGCATGTGCAAGTTATTCTAGTGAACTTACACAAGGGACCATTAACGAATTAAAGTGGTCAGGTTCTGAGTTGTTCTTCAGGAGGAATGGCGTGAAATACTAAGGTCGAGCATAGTGAGTGAGTGAGTGAGAGTGAGTGAGTATGGTTTTACGACGCTTTTATCAATATTCAAGCAACACCACGCCATGGGGGCATGCAGGTAGCAAAGGTACTGTAAAGGTACCTACCTTTAGTTGCCCGTTTTTATATAGAGTATTGTTCATAAAATTTGTTTGATTTTACAGTTACATACTAGTTTTAAATCTCTATCTGTGATGATCTAGTTATTTGACTGTCCTTCGTTGACAGTTTTATTTATAATTTAATTGCATTTAATATGAATTTGTAATTTGTCAAAGTCACGATATGGCTGAAATATTGCCGATGTGACTATTAATCGTAACTCACTCACTCACTCAATCACGCCACGGTGGACGCCAGAAATGGGCTTCACACATTGTAACCATGAGGGGAATCGAACCCGGGTCTTCGGCGTGACGACCGAACGCTTTAACCTCTGTGCTACCTCACCTGACATAGTAGACAAACCAGGTATTTAAACACGCCCGAAAATATTCACAGGCGTGTATCGTCATTACACCTTCGTTGTCATTTTAGGCAAGTTAACAAATAGATCAAATAGATCAAAAGTTATGTGAAAGAAAATACTGCGATAGTGGCAGAAGGTTTGCTGTTTGCTGTAGTCGATAAACAAGGATGCATGAAACAGTGTCCTCGTCACCGTATGTTGTTGTACTCATAATGCATATTTACATTCTGCTACTGGTATCTATTCCGCTATAGATCCGTCATTGATATCCAAATCTATTGAACATTTTGAAAACTATTTCATGTACAGTTTAACCTGAACTGTCCCCCTAAAAATATGATCATCTTATACATGCATTGGACATTCAGATCAAGCACCCGACAACAAGGTGCATGTCCTTAGGCGCTCACATCGATGTGTGTGACAGGAAAGAAAATATACTTTACGATATGTCCTTACATAAAATGACACCAGAGAGCGTAAAGCTTCACATATTTTTTTCATAACAAAACGTGAGTCCATGATGTAATCTGAATAATTTCTTCTCCCTGAAGATAAACCTGTAGGAGAACTAGCGGTCTCGTGTGTGTAAAGCACAGATACACAAAGTACTCACTACTGCTTGCACCTGTCCGTAGATCAAGAAATCATAGTGTAGCTGGATTTCTTAATCTTTATTTGCTGGGCGATTCTTTCAGTTATCAAAGCTTGATCCTTAGCTCTTACAGCAGTATAGCTAACTGTGCTGTATACATTAAAGAGGAATATAATCAAAATTGGTGTGTGCAAATATGACTTATGATTATGCGCTTACCGATACCAACAGGAGTAATAGCACGAAAGATACTCCCAAACTGGGTCCCGACCATGTAGACATCATGTGCTTCTTGGTGGAGGTTTGTTTCTCATGTCCCGTTAACAGTCGACTTCTTGCGCACATCTGTTGTGAGGTATCTCACATGTGACCAAAGTATTACTAAATTCGCAAATCACTATTGTTAGCAAGGAGGAGGGAGTGTGAGTTTTCATTCCAAATGTTTCCCTAATTTTCTGATATAAGTAAATGTTTCCGGTTAAAATATATTTCTCTGAATGTTATCATAGATGCATTATTATCACAAGACCCTCACAAAATTGATCACAAGTTTGTGTGATGTAGGCTCGATTTGTTTTCTAAATTATATTATTTACCTATACTATTTACACGTTCCTCTGGAATATTTGCTAAATGCAACATAACATTGACTCACGCTATGGATGTCCGTATGAAACAATCAAATCGAAACAGAAGTGAAACTAGAATACAAACGAGTCACAGCTATATTAACAGGAAGTGGTGAAAGCATGTTAGATGTATAGTGTGTTTGATACACCATCCAAACCCGATGCCGTAGCAAACCTTATTCTTAACCACTTTGAAGATGAAGACGACGGGAGGACGCCAAGGGGTGACCTTACTTCTGTGGCTGTTAATAACAAGGGTAGGTACCAAAAACTTTTATCACCGCGGTCATGTAGCCATTAATGTCAATAGACTCGTGGACGCTTCCATATATCACACTGTGAAAATGTCCATTTCGTGATATGGTAACTTATCACATGCTAGAATATTGCCCACGTAAAGAGGGCTGACTGCTGGAACCTTGAAATCATTCCCCAAGACAGTTTTCGTTTATTTTTTTATTTTTTTATTGCTATGTAACTATCGATTACAATTCATGATTATATTTTGTGTTTAGTTTTGTTGGCTAAATCAGTAGAAGGTAATTTGATTTTAGGAAAAAGCTGAACGATATTAGATGACCGATATACTTGAAACTTTCGTTAAAATGCTAGTCCAAATTTCCGTGTGTTGATTTTGCCAACCCAAGCCGAAATCCAAATTCATATGCATAAAGAGACATAGTTTAGCTGGAAGGGAAGCACAATTGGTGGCCAAAGGGATGTTTACTCACTGTTTATGTCTTATCCGCAAATTGTTACACAGGTCTTCTGATTGAGCAGTTGTCCTTGATAAATGGCGGAATAACTTTTGCTCTTAATTTTCGAAACAAGAATCACCCAGTTCCAGTGATACCCATTTTTGTCATGTAAACAATGAAATTGACAACGGTCATGTGACCAGTCCTGTTAGCTATGACACAAGTGACCTAGACTCATCCATTACCTTAGCAGAGGTCGAGCGTGCTATTGCACGTGCACAACAAGGGAAGGCGGCGGGGCCCGACTGTATACCGGCTGAGGCGTTGAAGAACAAGGCTGGCGTTGATGTCCTTTTTCGCATTTACAGTTACTGTTTTGATAATATTATCTGCCCCGAAGCATGGCGTCATAGCATTATTAATCCTATTGGGAAACCTGACTCTGACCCCCCTGACCCGTTGGGATATAGAGGCATCTCTTTGTTATCAGTCCCGTGTAAAATTTATGCGAATATACTTAATTCTAGACTTAGTTCTTGACTGGAAGCGAATAAGATTTTAGTGGATGAACAAAATGGGTTTCACTCTAAACGTAGAAACCTTAGAGCACTTGTATAGCATTTATTCAGTTATAAAAAAATAGAAAACAAGCTAACAGGTCTACTTTTGTTTGCTATATTGATGCTATGAAGGCTTTTGATAAGGTAAACAGACACTGTCTTTGGTATAAACTACTGCAGCTTGGCATTAACGGGAAGTTCTTACACGCAGTTCAGTCCATGTATGACAGTACCTCGGCCCGGGTCCGTGTTAACGATGAATACACAGACACTTTCTCTGTAATCTCCGGCGTTCGTCAGGGGTGTGGGTTGTCGCCGACGTTGTTTTCAATATATGTGAACGAGACAAACAGTTAAGGATGTGGCATTGAAATTGATGATGTTAGGCTCAGTTTGTTATTATATGCAGATGGCATAGCACTTATCGCTCCTGAGGAGGTGTCACTGCAGAGAATGTTGGATGTTGTAGCTGATTGGTGCTCCCGCTGGCGAATTCTGGTTAATATTCAGAAAACCAAAGTTATTCATTATCGTCCTAAACGGTTTATGAGATCTAAATTTGTTTTTATGATTGGTGATGATTATGTTGATTACACTAACGCCTATAAATTTTTGGGACTATGGCTTGAGGAAAATCTAAATTTAAATTACACTGCTAAAGAAATAGCGAAGTCTGCTAACTGCGCGCTGGGATTGGTGATGTGTAAGTTTAAGTCCATGGGAGGTATGGCTTATAACGTCTATAATACGTTGTACAACAACTTAGTGCAACCTATTCTGTCTTACGGTGCAGCACTCTGGGGAACTAAGGATTTTAATTGTATAAGTGCAGTACAGAACCGTGCTTGTAGATTTTTCATTGGCGTAAATAGCACAACCCCTAATTTGGCAGTAAGGGGTGATATGGGATGGACTAGTACTTTGTCAAAACATAGAACAGAAGTACATGTATTACGTTTTTGGGTTAAGTTGCACCATATGGCACCTGATAGATTGCCTTCTGTTATTAGCAGCTGGTCACGGCGTTTAGCTAAATCATGTCATAACACAGTGTCATCTTTATTACAATCGTTGCAACTCCCAGTGCAAGACCTGCTACACATGTCTAGTAGTGAATTGACTTTGTCATTTCAACATTTACAGTTGTTAGATCATCAGGGGTGGCTACGGGAATTGTGGAATGACCAGGGTAATCCCAACGGTAATAAGCTACGCACATACAGACAGTTTAAGTACACTGTTACTCCAGAACCATACATAACTGATATACTGCCCAGATGGAACCGTAGCATTCTATGTAAACTTCAGTGTGGTACACTTCCATTAGAAATAGAACGTGGTAGATTTTCTCGTCCTGCGACGCCACTTGCAGGCAGGCTTTGTCGTCACTGTAGTAGTCAGGCTGTCGAAGACGAAGTCCATTTCTTAGTTAGCTGTCCTTATTATTCTGATCTTCGGTATGATTTGTTTAGAAAATCTAGGATCTTACACCCAAATTGTGCTCAGTTATCAAACACTGAACAAGCTACATTCCTCTTACAAACAGAAATTATTGTTAATCCACTGGCCGCTTTAGTTAGCCGTATGTATCGGCGTAAGCTATCATCCCTATAAATTTCTTTCTTTTTCCTTAGGTCTTTCATATGTGTTATACTCCTTAATGTTTTAATCTTATATTTTATACATTTTATGCACATATTGTCTCAAGTGTCTCATGGCCATCTGGCCTGGTGTCTGTATTTTTCTATGTTTTTTTGCTGTTGCCATTTTTGACATGTACATTCACGTGACACATAAATATACTAGTTTGTCTGTCTGTCTGTTATCGACGAGGAAGGCAGTTTTATCAGTAACTTTCCGAAGTGATGGCTTCATATGGACAGGGAAGTGTTATTTAATGAACGAAGAACGAAGAGAAATGTATACATATTGTATAATGTTCTTGAGGGATCCTGTATTCAAAAGAGTCCATACAAGATAAAATATTGGTCACCCATTTTGATAATTTAAACCTCCTATCATTCACCACATCAAGATTCCAGTAACCATGTCTCTGATTATATTATGTTATTTTCACAAATTCTTTGTCTCATCCCCAAATTTCAACACCTGAAGATCCGGGTTAGAATTGATCTTCAGTAACCCAGGCTTGTCGTAAGAGAAGACTAACGGGATTGGGTGATCAGGCTAGCTGATTTGGCTGACACATGTCATCGTATCCCAATTGCGTAGAACGATGCTCATGATGTTGATCACTGGACTGTTTGGTCCAGACTCGATTATTTGCAGACCGCTAGCACATAGCTGGAATATGACTGAGTGCTGCGTATAACTAAGCTCCCTCACATTATTGCCAAATTACATGATATATAATATCAATGAGGAAGTCCCACGTTTCACAGATCATTTTTGTTAGTAAAAATCACAAAAAATAATAAACTCTCCAGGACACGTTCTAAAGTGCAAGTAGGCGATGGGGTAGCCTAGTGGTTAAAGCGTTCGCTCGTCACGTCGAAGACCCGTGTTCGATTCCCCACATGGGTAAAATGTGTGAAGCCCATTTATGGTGTCCCCAGCCATGATATTGCTGGAATATTGCTAAAAGCGTTTTAAAAAATAAACTCACTCGATCACTCTATAGTGTAAGAATGTGTATTGTTTTTTTTGTATAATCATGTTACACTGAATCAATCAAACAAGACATTTCCTCAATAGTATCGTCTTGAATTGACCCATCCAATTTTTTTATTCCGAAAATGGAATGAGCACAATCATTTTCAATTGTTTATGTTTGAATTCTGAGACAAGTAATTAAATTAGAATTTACGGTCTAATTATTAAAGTTAAACTCATGTGCGAATATATCTTCTTGCTTCGACAGCGTGCGAAGACTGACGGCAAACTGGACATTCGATTCATCAGGTACTGGTCGGATGGCAAGGAAGTCAGTGGGGATTGTTGTGACAATCATCTACGCGTGTGGTGTAATGACAAGTGCGACCCAAAGTTTACCATTTGCATTGATGGGTGAGGAACGTTTAATTTTTCAATAACAAAATATACTAGTAAGTGAAACACATTTTGAGTGAGTGAGTTTACACCGGTAATATTTCAGCCGTAGTGTGACAACAGAAACTCATAAATTAAGAATGAATATAAGAAGAATATATAAAATGGTGTCATCGAATGACAGGATAACAACTAGATGATCACATATTTTTAAAACTAGTTTGTAAGCAAACGTTTGTACAAATCAAACTATCAGTAGTACCACCGCTACACCGCCCCTTCTTTGACTTCAATAGAAAGTGCGGAGTCGTGCTTATAACGCCAAATCTGTTTGACATTCGGTTTGAAAACCATTCTGGATACATAAACTAGTGCCAACAAGTATACGCCGCAAAATATCACGTAAAAATTTAAAAATAGAAATTAACTGAACCATGTCACACTCGTACACATTCTTTCCGGGAACAAACTTCGAAACAAGTTAACGAAAAACGCCCAAATGACGTTTTCTGATGTATGACGAAATGCACGTGCATACTGACGGTACAAAACAGCCTACGCGACACGTAAGCAACACAGTGGTAAAAAGAAGACAAAAAATACGACACTTTTAAGGAATGGCCCAACAAGGAGCTAACCGCACCGTCATAGCCAGCAACTGTCATCAGACTGATGCAACAACTAAGATATACAGGCAATACGTCAGACAAGCCTAGGAGTGGTCGACTACGTGTGGCAACGCCCGGTGATGATCGACACATCCAGACAATTCATCTGAGAAATTTTGTAACGGGGTCGTCAACGGCAGCGACCGCACTAGGACACCGTAGATTATAGTATGGTTCCCGAGCACGTCGACCCGACCGAGGAGTGCATTGACTCTTCAAAACCGACGTCGTCGATTGACATGAGCCAGGCGAGTTCGACGTTGGCAGAAGCGTGATTAGCGACGTGTGATGTTCACAGACGAGAGTAGGTGTTGCCTCTACAGTAAGGACATCCGGACTCGTGTTTACAGCCAAATTGGATTAACGTTTTGCGCCGAGTTGCCTTCAGCAAATCCGGCTGTTTGGAGCCGGTAGCGTGATGGTGTGGGGAGTGATCTGCGGCGATATCAAAAAGAGACTTGTGATTATTCATGGCAACCCGAATTCTCGATGATACAGGGATGAAGTTTTGTGACCAGTTTTGTTGCCATTTATCCAAGTATGTGACATTGTCTACCAACATAGAATACTTATGGGACTATCTGGATAGACAAATCAGAAGACTACCAGCGCAACCTGTCACCGCTCAACAACTGTAACAATGTCTCCTTCAGGAATGGCTACGGATCACGCCTATCGTCATTCGTATTCTAACGTCATCAAGGCGTCGAGATGTTTTGGCGTGTACTGAAACGCTTTATTGATTTGTGTAAAAAGCAATGATACCACGTGTCTTTTAGTGTCAGTCAAACGATACTTTCGACTTTGTATAAAATGAAACGGTGTAATTTGCTGTACACTTAAATACTCTATTGAAATTAAACAAATGTTCCTTTATGTATGCTTTGTTTTCTGTTCATGTTTGGTCAAACACGCTGTATACTTTCTTTTCAGCACTAGTATATCTATAAAATATGTGTCTTGGCTTTGTTTTCAATGTACAGTGTGGCAGTACAATTGGCAGTGAGTCCTGTTGACGTGAAAGCGCTATACAACTATCTTATATTATTCCAGCCCTGAAGGAAGAAAGCCTTGCTCTGTTTACAAGAACGCCACAAACTACATACACAACCAGGACATAATCCACTTTGGAAGTAGCATTCAAGGAACACCAAATCCTTTCATCATACATGTACCCAAAGCAGTACCGGTAGGTTTCTTGCTAAACTTGAAAACTAAAACTAGAACAGAATCTAACTTATAGTATCCAGTACCGGTATGTGTGACAGACACTAGACCTTAACAAGGAGTCGAGAAATAGCATGATCTGGCTGACTGCTGTGTTAAACAACGGACTTATGCGGAGAATAAGAATCCGGGTTACAATTGATCTTCATTAACCAATGCTTGTCGTAAGAGGAGACTAACGGGATCGGGTGGTCAGGCTCGCTGACTTTCTTGACACATGTCATCGTATTCCAATTGCGTAGAACGGTGCTCATGATGCTGAACACTGGATTGTCTGGTCCAAACTCTATTATTTTCAGACCTCCGCCTTTTTGCTGAAATATTGCTGTGTGCGGATTATAACTTAACTCACTCAATCACTCACTAACACACTCAGAGAATGACAAACTATCAATCTGGTGAATGATTAATTTACGTAACCTTTTAAAATATTAGCTGGAATATTGTTCTTTTTTCAAGTCCTCGATCGAAATAACGGTGGAGGTGTATGACAGCGATGACACCTCCAGTGATGACCACATGGACACGCTCTCTAAGCTGATCAACATCCAAGCCGCTGCTACAGAACAGGCAGCTGTGTACACCCCATATACAGTGTGGGGAAGGACTAAGTGAGTCAGACTGTGATAGATCTGGAATGAATCAAGAGATGAAACTCTTCCGTGTTATTTATTCATAAATACTTCCAAAGGACAAGACTGCAACTGTTACATGAATATGAAATTATTGGGTTTGTGTCATCATCGTCTTGCACCAGAATAGTGCTAACATGAATGCATAAAATCACATGGCCATTCTAACAGCACCAAAAGAACGTTTAGCTTATGGCAAAAGGCTAGATATAGACACAGACATATTTCTGGAACAGGAATGTATTTAATATTGACTGTTTAGTGATGAAAATCCCGTGATGGTGCATGATATATTATATTTAAAGAGAAACGTTTATGTTTTCAATCAAGTTACTGTTACGATTGATATTTAAATGCTTTATGATTTAGATCTCTTTGTATTGACCGTAAATGTTTCTATCATTTACCCGACTGTCTCAGTGCTGGCGATTGTATTGGTTCTCGATCAAGACCTTAACTGCACAAAGTGAATCGAAAATAAGATTTAGAGCCTAGTAACACAATACAAATTATCGTATGATACATTCAAGCATTAAACTTAATTAACCTCACTATTCTTTCTGAATAATGCATCTGACCGGCGTGTGGATGGTTTCATATTCAATTTGTTATCAAATTAGAGCCACATAGTGAGTAGTCATATTTTTTCATAAATATCAAGATTTTGGTTTGTTGTTTAACGCCGCACTCAGCAGTATTCTAGCTTTATGGCAGCGGTCTGCAAATAATCGAGTCTGGACCAGATAATCCAGTGTTCAACACCATGAGCACCGTTCTACGCAATTGGGAACCGATGGCATGTGTCAAGAAAGTCAGCGAGCCTGACCACCAGATCCTGTTAGTCGCCTCTAACGACAAGTATGGGCTACTGGAGATCAATTCTAACCCGAATCTAATGCACACCATCAGGTAGTTTAAAATCCCGTTTATGAGCTGATGCTCATAGGAGATGATAAACGAGATGACAAACTGAAATGTATTGAGCGTTTTATTTCCAGGTTAAAGATTGAGGTTCGTGCCTACTGCGACCCAGACTGGTACGGATCTGCGTGTGCGACATATTGCAAGGCCACTCCTGACCACAGTCACTACACCTGCCACCCACATACAGGAGCTAAAATGTGTTTTGAAGGTATGCTCAGATAGCTGGTGTGAGCGTTGATAGCTATTACGGTCGGTAAACATTTTTAGCTGAATACATGTCCGGTGTTTGCTATATATACTATTCTTACTTTGCTAAGGATCAAATCATTGATTCAACAGAAAACTATGGTGGGGTCTAATTTGGTTTAAATATCTAAGCTTATTGAGCATAGATCCTAGGTTTCAGTATGCCACTGCATCTTGTGGATCCCATACCTGCTATTGACAGGTGTTGTGTACTTTTCAGTGACTCGTTCCATTTTTATGGTTACTCATGTATCAAGTGCATACGGTTATATTAAAGTGTCTGTTTGCATAAAGAAGGGTTATCGTATTATCATTATGTATCCAGTTTTAAATGGATACAATTTCAAAGGATCAATCTCTGTTTAAGTAAAGTCAGGAATATTTGTGATCCTTAGCAAAGTGTGAGGAGTATATCACGATTCTTCGTGTTGATGCGAAACTACACTGAAAACAGAATACCGGATGTGCACGAGTTCCTTCCTTGATAAAGATGTATATTTTTACCATATCACTAAAATATCATGGGGAAATGATTAGGGATGCAATATCATTATTTTGCCAGAGATGGTTATACTAGTCATAAAGCGAGTGTTGGTATATCATTGAACATTGCGCACGTCTTTAATGAACTTCTATATTCCGATATCTAACGAATGTTTATGAATAGTTTAGATGGCTAAATGTCAGCGAAGTCGTTTATCTACTCTCCATAGGGACCGTTCATAATTGTGAGTGGGTTGGGGGTGATGATGAGTTTAAGGGGGTCACCCATTTTGCTCTGGGGTGGGGTGGGGTGGGGTAGGGTGGGGGTACGGGTGGTAATCATTTCCCATTTTGGTGAGGTAAGGGGGTCATCATTTTTGTTCATATGACAACGGGGGCAGTCACTGATTTTGTACATGACATGCAGGCGGGGAGTCGGGTTGTCACTTAATTTGTACATAAATCTTAGGAGAGTTCTGCTTCTCCATAAAATATCTCTCCTCTCCCCCCCCCCTTCCCCTTCAGCCATAAATCATGAAAGATCCCTTAACTGGTCATTATTACCTCCTTGAGTATTGAGTTATATTTATTCTTTTATGTAAACATATTCAATTCCTTTCAATCATACAATTGCAGGGTGGAAGGGAGATAACTGCGACGAGGATATCGACGAATGTGCAGAAATTAACAACTTGTGTCAGCGTGGGGGAAGTTGTACTAATACACTTGGAAGCTTTATGTGCAGTTGTACGGAGGGTGTCACTGGTGAGTTGACTCTATCACTTATTAATTTACACTGTGTCTACATTCTGATACCTGTAGGCTCAGCCAGACAGAGAGCATTTTCGAATTGATTTTATTTGTTTAACGCTATATGGCTGTGTTCTGTAAATGATCGTGTCTTGACCAGACAATCCAGTGATCAGGAGCCCTAGGTTCGCGGTTGGGATACGATGAGGGGTGTCAACCAAATCAGCGAGCCTGACCACCCGATCCCGCTAGTCGCCTTTACGTCAAGCATGGGTTGCCGAAGACCAATTCTGATTCGAAGCCTACAATACATGCAATATGTGTCCCCCACTTGGTTTGGTTGTCAAACGTCGTTTCTATTATGGATTTGTCTCTCCATATGAGGATCTAAGTAAAGGGAGATACACGAAACAATAGATAAGATTTGCAATTGGTTTACGGCTAACGGGATCTGTAAAACAATATACAACAATGGAACACGGTATTACAGTAGTTCCATTCTCACATTCATAATGTTGGGTAAAACTTGGTTACTTATTATTATATCTTTTCCTCACTGTAGGGAGACTTTGATACTCATTAGAATTGGTGATGTCATTAGGTAAAAAGCAGTGATGTTATGAGCGCTATTGATACGTTTGAGTATTATGTTTATTTGTTGAACAGCACAATTCCATCAACAATTTAAGTTAAAAGTAAAAAAGGTGTGATTAAATGGTTTATAAAACAATTTGATAAGAGTATGCCTTATGCGAAGAATGAAATACTAGAGACCTTTCTTATTGTTGATCTGTATTTGTTTTAAACGTTTTGAATCAAGATTCGTACAACGGTATCAATAATCATCAATGACTTCTATGTCTTCATTTACCTTGTATACAACACTAATTGGTGATTTACTATTCACCTGGTCGTAAAACTTTCTGTTCTACAATGTGTTTTTTTTCTGAGTTACTAGCCGCTATAATTAGTTGTTATGTAGAACGCCAGTACCAACACGTCTTAACTAAGCAAGTTCTGTCAAACTGGTAGCACCAGTTAAAACAGTTATCAGAAGTATTAAAACAAACATTTGCAAATAAGATGAATAAAAGCAGTGACAGAACACGGCCCTGGGGATCGCCAGTTTTACTGTGGTTGATCCTGTCCCAGTTACACTAACAATTTGGGATTACACTATGTCTTTCTCAGAGACGTTCAGACGCAAGTACTTTTGGGGGTTGATTCCGGTCCGGGATTCGAACTCACACTCTCAGAGTCAGGCATTTAATCGCCAGCACACCACGTCAGCGATCTAACCCATTTAGCTAGCGCGCTTAAGCAAAGACAAAGTCTAACTGGTTGTCAAGATAACGTACTTTGTGTACCCCTATGGCAAGTGTTGCAAATTTCACGTGACAAAGTACTTGACCTATAACACCAGTAATTTCGGCGTGTAATTGATGGGTTAAACAACATCAAATGCATTTTTAACTCAACGGTCATGCAAGGTGTCCATTACATGCTGCTTGTTTCTCGTCAAATACTTCCTCAACTTTGTTCAGGAAGGCAATGTGAAAACATCATCAACCAGTGTGCACTGGCACCATGCTTGAACGGCGGGACATGTGACGGAAACGAAACAGCCTTCAACTGCACATGCTCTGTAGAGTGGACTGGAGGGACCTGCGCAGAGAAGGTGAATTTCTGTGACAGCGCCCCCTGTAACAGAGGAAACTGTACACCGGACTTCCTGACGGCAACTGGGTTCAAGTGTAACTGTGAGTTTGCGTGGGTAGGAGAAAGATGCAGTCATGCTGTTGGTAAGTGGAATGTTATCTCAGTTTTCAACTTTGAGCTGTAATTATGAATTGTTTTCTTTTATTTTAGCGTCATTTCCGGCATCATGAACTATCGCACAATAAACACAGTTTCAATATACGATTACTCTGCCTATGACTCCAGTCTAAATGGAATATTTCTTTCATGCTCTTTGGTTGTCTGCTAGCTATTTACGTTTTCTATGCATATTTATAAGAACCGCAAGTTCTGTGCATTCAGATATATTCAACATTACGCTCCTGGGTGAGATTGGTCATACAAATAGAGGTGACCTGGCTGATGGCTTGGACAGACTCATCACCGAACTCGGGGGAATTCCAGGAAAGGTGGATGTCAAGTTTACAACAAACGCACAGAAAGAAAGCAAGTAAGTGATGAACAGGGTGTTGCTGTGCCGGCACACAATGATTTCAGTAAATTGAGCGTCCTACCCTGCAATGAATCGTACGATCTCTATCAAGTTGGTGTTTTGAAATACTTTGCATCCAACAGTGAAACAAACAGCGGTCTACAATGACTTCAATCCTCCTGCAAATAATGTCAAGGTTGTAACTAAGTTTGTGTTTGAATATATGTTTCAGTTATACTACAACGTACATACAACTCTATTTTGCTGTGGAGAACGGCTCCTTTCTGGAGAGTGATTCATTAGATAGAATCTTCGAATCCAACCCTGACGAAGTCATCAGTGAATATCTGCCTCTTCCATTGTACCCACGTCAACAAGAAGAGAAGGAGAAGATCACGGTGTTCCAAACGATGGCAACAGAGGTTCGTTTCGTTATCGTGTTAATGTCAACGAAACAACCTATGACAAATTTGAATTTAGTGAGTGAGATGAAATGTGTTTGTCCTTTGTAAGAATGTTTGTATACTGAACCACAACAAAAATGTCGCACCGATAGGGGTTTCTTAAGGCACACACTTTAATTCACTCATATTAACAATCAAAACGAGGACTGAGTTCATACTTGACAGTTATGGTTAACACATTTTCGGGAAACACATTTAGAGTTCACACAAACAAAATCACCAGAAATGGTACCATTAAGATACCCCAAAGTCAGTATCGTGTGTGGCCTTTATGGGCATCGATGAAATCGTTGCATCGTCTGTACATAGAATGAATTAGCCGGTCGATGAAGATCATACGCATTTGGGTCCATACTCTGCGAAATGCCTGATTGACTCTAGCCGTAGTTGTCGGCCTTGGTTGGAGGCCATTCAGTCTTCTTTGAATCTCGTCCCAAAGATGTTCTACTGGAGTTAAATTCGGACTGAGTACAAGATGTTGTAGGGTTTGGATGACATGCTATCTTATGAAGTCCAATGTTGCTCTGGCAGTGTGGTCACGACCGTTGACTTGCTGGAAGATGTGATTTCTGTAACGTCCAAAATGTGGTACAACGTGGGGTCTTATGACTTAATCAATATAGCGAGCAGCTGTCACGTCATTTCCTCATCCTGGACCAAGATCCTGGAACACCACGGTATTAACTAACTGGTTCAGACCGATTGCACCCCACACTATGCTGCTTGGACCACCCCACGAGTCTCTTTCAACAATACACTCATTGGAAAACATTTCACCACGCCCTCGCCATACTCTCACGCTGCGTTTGAGACTCGCTTTCATTGGTAGGGTTGTCACGACATGCACGTGCATTTTCATTTTCACGAATGTCATACGGAACCTTTTACCATGTCTGCCTTCTTCGGTGCGTTTGGTCGATATGCTTTTTCATCAGAAAACACACTGATGTTGGTAATAACTGTCAATTTGGATTGAAAAACATGTTAAGAAAACGGTACAATCATAATAAAAACACCACCTTGCAAGAACAGAATTTTGCATTTGGTTTTAAAAAGCGACGTTTCTTTTGTGGTTCAGTATATATTTGTTGTGTGACGCTAAGCAATACATACTTTATGACGGCAGTCTGTAATACATTGACATGTAATCAGTGAAGTCAATAGACCACTCAATCCAGATCGACGTCTCTTTTGTCGAGGACGGTGGGGTAGCCGAGTGGTTAATGCGTTCGCTCGTCATGCCGAAGACCTAGGGTACCACATGGGTAAAACGTGTGAAGCCCATTTCCGATATTGTTGGAATATTGGTAAAAGCCGCGTACAACTAAACTAACTCACTCACTCTTTTGTCAACATGCTTAGGTTGCTGGAAAATACGTAACTGGAATCCTCACATGTCTCTACAAAGCAATACAACAGAACAATACCTGGTCCTGATTGAAAGATTTAAAAATAACTCATTAAAGTATCATTTGAAAGCAAAAGCAATAATACTGTCACCTTCACAGTTCCAATTTAGATATGTAAGTTTATGGTGAAAACCCCATTTGACTATATTTTTTCAATTGACTACTGATGAAACCTGCTGTTTCAGAGATCGCGTAACAGTTGGGACAAGGGCCAGTACGTGAAGACCATTGGAACTCCTTTAGGATTTGCCCTTATGACTGTTATACTTTGGGTGGCTTTATGGATCTGGAGAAGAAGATCGTAAGTTGCACATGACATTCCTTTTGATTAACATGCAAAGACGGCAGACATTCTGAGTAACGTAATTATTTTAATCAGACACACACATTCACGCACGCACGCACGCACGCACGCACGCACGCACGCACGCACGCACGCACACTCACACACGACAGAATCATGGGTTTACCATTCTGTATAACCATGTTGTAAACATATGTAAGACCATTTCAAATAGTATTTTGATATCTGAATGTCATATCGATAGTAGTTTAGGAGATTATATTCAACAAAAGCAACAATGTATTGTGTTATTTTTCCGATTTCCAGACACAACTCTGACCAATTCTTGGAAGACGATCAAATCAGTCTTTTTGTTATGGATGTCGCATGCAACAGGAGCCTAAACAGACCAGGTAACGTCACAGGCACACGTCAGGATGCAAGCGTATCTCCAAGTGGCTACACAAGTCTTCACTTCCATGACCATGAAAGATCACTCGACACAGACTGTGATGACACATTACACATCCACATAGCAACTGAAGATATGATGTTCGATCCAGTATTTCTAGATGACAACAATCTTCACGATGACGAAGCAAAACTAGATACCGGCCTCCACGTTGCCTCATACATCCATCCAGTCCCTGCAGATATTACCCTTGACCCGGCGAGTCTAGAGGATGAGGAAGATGAAGCAGAGTACACTGTCATCGATGACAACGATGTTGAGGACCCCTTACAGGAAAACCCTTATGAAACGATAGAATCTTTCGATGAAAACGATGTTGATAACATCTCACAGACAAACCCTTATGAAAAGATAAATTTTTAGCTCCCTTGGACGATGTATTTGTCAGCCTATAATTATGTAAGATATTAATGGCTTCTCTGCTATGCGACTGATTGAGAACCGGAAGTGCCAACAGCAAACTGTCATCGTGGGCTGTCCGAGTGCATCAGAATGGGTTAATAGCTCAGTGGTTACAGTGTTGTCTGGCACGTGGACTGACTCGGTTTCTAGTTCAACAGATTGGGAACACCCCAGGGAGGATCTATTTAGAATGATCTAATAATTGTGGGTAAGCAAAGTGTAAATTCTAAGGCCATATGCCAGGTTACCTGGAGCAAGGATTAGCCTTCAGTAAACCCTTTTCGATTCCCTGCTGGTACAATGTGTACCTTGGGCATCGCATTGCACGTGTTGATTTGCACGATGTCGGCTGACGGGGTTCTAATTCCAAGTGGGGCCCATGTTGTGAACACTATATGTATTATCTACTTACAGTAATCTAATGAATCACTATGAAATAGGTTATCTGGGACGATTCCCCATGGGTACAATGTACGATGCCCATTCATGGTGATCCCCGCCGTGAGTGAATGGAATAATGTTTAAGCTCTCTCTGACGCTACGTAGTCATGAGCCATGATATGTCCAGACTATTTTCATTTATTAACTGATACAGACGGAGACTTGTTGTAAATATGCCTAATTAATCTAAGTATATTCTGTGCAAGTTCAGGTTCGCAAATAAAATTACTCTTAAAGCTTGTTTTCTTCACTGTCTCACTTCACTCGTTGGCCTTTCTAGAATGACAAGCATGAATGATAAAACGCCCATGCAAGATAATAACCTGATATTCCCCAAAACAGATTGCATTTGGCAAAAATTGAAATTACTCTTTAAGCTTTTATTATTCACTGTTATTCGCCATACTTGTTTCACTCAACTTATCGACCTTTCCAGACAGGGTGGACATGCAATATTAAATGACTTCCATGCAATGGATCACTGAACATTTTTGATGACTCCAGGTGTTCTTGAGAAGGACACGCATGTCCTGCCCATAAAAATAGTCCTTCCTTGCCTGACATTGCACAGCGGTACTCCTGAATTTCGGTGGTGGTCAGACAATCAAGCAATCGACGGACCAGAAAGTCCAGACACCTGATAATGTATGCTGGAATGGTTACAATATTTTTTAATTCCGTCTGCTGTGTACAAGTACGAACATTGTGCTTCTTAAGGTAAAGAAATAAGGGTTCAGAAATATCTCCCTTATGCAACACAGAGTAGGGGAAAATGTAATGCTCAGCCAAAGCAATTCTTTGTTGTAGATTCAGCATGGGTAAAGGATATTTGGCTAATCGCTGACTTTACACCACCAGCAGAATATCGACCCAGCTGAAGTAAACATAAAAGCGCTACTGCATGAGAATAAGCGCTGTTTTGAATATCTTCCGGAACAGATTCTATATGGCATTAAGAGCTAAATGGCTGTGCGAGTAATGTGAATGAATTGACGGCAAATCAGTGACGGTTGGTAATTGTAGAATGGGTAAGAATGTTCCGCCCTACCTGTAGCGCCCCACACTAACACAGCATGCAGCTACAGTACAACCAGAAATTATTCAGAATTTAAAGATTGTATTTTTTTATATTTTTTTCACTCATTACTCACGTATTAATGTGAATATTGGCAGAACATAACTCCAGATTCAAAGACAGGTGAACAGTTAGTATATTGTCAAGTCACCATGGGCAGCAATGCAGGCTTCAATGCGGCGGGGCATACTACTCATTAAAGAAGTTAGAAAGTCGTGGTCCATGCTGTCCCAATATCGGACCACCTCTTCTTTCATTTCAGCAATATTTCAGATTTTTGTTATTGACACTTTCCTTCATAAGTCCCCAAACATTTTCTATTGGATTTAGGTCAGGGCTATATCTTGGCCAATCTAATAATGTCATATTTTGGGTCCGAAACCAGGCCTGTGAATGCTTTGAACGATGTTTTAGGTCGTTGTCCTGCTGGAAAATCCAAAAATTTCCATAGAACACGTGAGCAGATGGAAGTAAATGTCCCTCGAGAATATCTGTGTACCGCTCACTGTTCATATTCCCTTCAAATGCACAGAGGGGCGTTGCCCCTAACAGAGATATGCCACCCCACACGTTAAATTTCGGACTGTACTTTGGGTGCTGATACAAATGTTTTTCAGTTTGTTTGGTCCAGAATTTCAGGAAACAGCCACACAGAACTTTCATCTGAGAAAATTACATTGTCCCAGTTAAAATTTCTATGTTGTAAGCACCAGTTCAACCTTCGCTCTTTTTGTTCAGGTTTCATGATCTGTGATGGAATTCCTCGACTTTTCTGCAAACTCATTGCATGCAGCTCAATTCTAATTGTCTCCTTACAGACAGACACAGTTCCTCTATCAATCATTTCCAGCCTTAAGTTTTCTAAACTCCTTCGTTTGTTTTTAGAAACAAGAATACCAAGCTGCCTCCTGTCACCGACAGCCAATTTTCTGGGCCTACCTGCGCCTCCCCGGTGCTCAATGCCATATCCATTTGCATTAATTTTTTCAAAACACGATAAACAGTGGACAAAGGGATGCCTGTTCTACTTGAAATCACTTTAGCTAATCTGATGTCCTTGTTATAATACTCTAAACTCAACTTACTCTTCTATAAATCATCCATACTGAGGATCACTGAAAATGTCGTCTGCTAGCAAGTAAACAAAGGGGGATAACTCTTCACAAACTAATGAAAAAGGGATTAACGGAGTTGTCTCTCTTGAATGAAACCAAGCACTTGATAGCTGGTCAAGGTTGTTTATACTAGAAAATCCAATTAAACATATTCCTAAAATTCTCAATAATTTCTGGTCATACTATAATACCCAACAGATAGTAACAGGTAATACATTTTTTAATTATTGACAAAAATTTCCTGTTTCCTTGAATTAAGGCAATATACTCGGAACAATCTACACTAAAAGAAGTGAGAAAGCACGCACTTGTGAACATCAGTGACAGCAGTTGTGTTGTCGTCCTGCGAACCAAACCAGAGTCTGTGATATGGATGAAATAGTGTCAAAGCGACTAAATTAATGTATTGCATAACTAATAACTATGGGTTATTTGGGTTGGAATAAGCTTCAAAAACTTCTCAAATGTGCTTCATTCATCGTAATTCATTAAGGCCCTTACATAATTTATTTCCGGTATTCATATCCTTTAGGAACACATCTCCAATATCCCACATTGGTTAGTTTACACAGCTGTCACTGTTTCAAAGTATTGTAAAATTATTGTTCTCCTGTGGGGGTGGGTGGGGGTGGGATGTACTATGTCCCAAAACATTCAAAGTAAAATAAACTTACCGAATTTTTAAAACGCAGTATTTTTGCTTTTTTAAGTTATGGCTACATTTAACCAACGACTGAGGGGATGATATACACCCGTCATGGGTCCATGCAGGTAGCCAAAGTACTATAAATCCCCATGGTCTCTAGTATGGTGATCTATAGCCCGTTTTTATATTGTATTGTCTTGCATTATAGTGTAAGGTTTCAGTTACATGCTAGTTTTATATCTCTATCTGTGATACACTAGTAGTTTTACTGTTCATCGTAAACAGTTGTATAGCTTCTAATATTATTGCTCTTTACTGATAATTAATTGTTCTCATCACGATATGGCTGAAATTTTGCCGATGTGACGATAAATATTATCTCACCCACTCACTTACTGTTACTGGCTCATATAAAACAGCTTTCCTTAATGTCACACGCTCGTTGTATTTCCGCAACTCAACATAAAAGATACATACAAAAGAAACAAGTGAAACTCGATGTATGTCACTGAAGTTAAAGGCGATTTCGACACATGGATAAACCAATCCGCCATATAAAGTATTTCCGCAACACAACACGAAAGAAACTGAAAAGGAAACATGTGAAACGCGTGAAGTTAAAAGGCATTTTCCACCTATGGATCAGCCAATCTGCCATATAAAGTGTTTGCCGTCCGATCTGCATCAAGCACTATCAGCCCACGTGTAAGGGATACCACCACCGAAGATGAAGACAAGGGCTTTACTTCTCTGGCTGCTGATTATTAGGGTAGGCATATAAACATCTCTCAAAGTGGTCCAATTAGCTTATATTAGTTAGAGGACATAAGTACACTCCACATATATCATCCTCTGATTTTATTCTCCACGTTATAAATTGATTGACGTGCATTGTCTACGTGAGTATATATATATATATGCAGATCTTACGTGTGAATTCGTTGATGTTATCTTCATCTGTTTTTAAACGATGATCGTCACGGGCTACTTTTTGCCCCTGCATCGGAGAAGAAGGTATACCAGAGAAACGCGCCACACATTCAATATGTACATATTATATAACAAGGGTTTGTGTCCGGTGTATATGATAGCATTGGAGTTTTGAAAGCCTCAGGCCATGTTTCTAGGTACCTTATAATTACGAGCTGACAACCATTATATTTCTTTCTTGATGAGATGAGCATTTACTTCCTCAAATTTACACCCGAGAGCATTGTAACAAGAGTGTTAAGTGGATACCTGGCTTTGAGCTATCCGCCCGTGTCACACACTATTTCAAAAGGAAAAAGCGAAATACAGTTTCTACTAGTCTTGAAGGCACAATGTCACACATTTTCGGCATTCTGTATTTTGGACTATATTATATATATTGGGGCATATGCACTCACCTTATTTTCTTATTGAGGCAATTAAAGACTTAAAACGACTTGCCTGAATCGATAATGGAAACTTCGAGGCGAACAGCTTCCAAACAGAGAACACTTGCCATATATGGAATTAAACAAGTACTCCGTACACCGCTAACTGTGGCACGCGGCCGGTAGAGGGCGCGAGAGTCGATTTAATGCAACGTTGTATTGATTCATTCGAACTTTTAACGATATGACTGAAATATTGCCGATGTGACTTGAAATCTTAACTCACTCACTCACTCGAACTTTTAAATTTATATTTTTGTTATCTAAATACGTATTTTGGGGGGGAATGAATTATATGTTAGCTTCCGTGGAGACTCATAGTTCGTATTATAGAGGGAAATGCATTATTTATTTTTTAGAGAAGTGTGGTGTGATTTAGTGCCTTTAAACGAAACGAATTTCTAATGCAATCGAATAATGAGGACAAGGTGATTATACAAATCACAAGCCTATTAGAGTGAGGTCATATCTCTCATCCTGTCTTTTACTGATTAGTCTGATGCAAATTCAATATAATGTGAAAACAATATGTAACAGGCTGGACTTTCTCATTGATAACACCTTTGTAAAATTTGGGGGTCAAATATTTTGACAAGATGTAGTCATACCCATGGGCACTAACTGTGCTCCCCGTGTGGATCTGTTCCTTATTTTTATTTCTGCCTTGCAAAATCAAAACAAGTTAATTTGGACAAGAAATTTAACTTGAGCTTCAGGGTCCCGTTTCACAAAGCTCTCGTAAGCCTAAGATCTCGCAACTTTTCTCGTAGCATCCTATGTTACAGTGTAGGAGATACGACTGCTACGAGAAAGGTTACGAGATCTTAGGCTAACGAGAGCTTTGTGAAGCGGGGCCCAGGTACCCACCTGAACTTGATTTTTTAATTTTATTTTTTTCATGAAACCAAAGTCTTACGTCATAAACGGCGGTCTTTACATGATGACATATACAAATACATCAACATAATCTGATATCCAACATACCAGGATATAACATAGTTAGACCATTGAAATATCAACCTGTATAGGGTGCTGCATCTGGTGCCATACCCAACATATCAAGTTTTATATAGCGCAACACGCAGCATACAGTGTTGCATATAGCGTCATATCAGACATAGCATATTGTATACAGGGTCACATCAAACATATGCTGTATATTGCGCAACATCCAACATAAGTTGTATAAAGTGTCATATCCGAAATATCGTATTTAATATAACGACATATCATAATGTATATAGGGCCACATCTAATCTTGAAATTTAGTAGACAAGTGAGAACGCCTTTTTCATATATAGATCTATGCATAAAGATTCCGAGTGACAAAAAACTATCCACAAGGAAGTATGACAGAAGGGATGATTTCAACTTCCAAAAAGTCAGCTTTCCTTTCATGCCAAGCAATGTTCCAACGGCTCCAGCCTTTGGTGTTTACATTTGAGGTACAATTGAGCATGGCCTTTCAACAAGATTTCAAAGAGCGTCATACAACTCTTGCTCAGAAGTTTGATCAAAGCGACAACATTCAAGACCATAGGAGGGCTTTCAAAAAGTTTTATGGAAGACATGTGGTGGGCATGTGATACATCAGAGCAATATACCAACAGCTGCAGCCTTCGGTGTTTACATTTCACATCTTTTGACTTACAAAAGTGACAAAAATGATGTCAGATGCAATTCCTTGTTTTGACTTATACCATACGTTCCCGAATTATTTCAGGTGAACAATTGACTTTGAATATGTTTATGACGGGCGTTACCGATGAGGCAAGATACGCTCACCTCTTTGCGAACACCTGGTATCGTCACTATTTCATAGTGATTCATAAACACGTGCTCTGTCATTTCGCATGGTGACAATCACTAGATTGTCTGGTCTAGACTGGCTTTGTTTACAAACAACATTGTACAGCTGTAATCCTGCTGACAAAACATATGCTCATGATTTTGTCACATAGCAGAAATTTCTCATGGGTGTGGAAAGGGTTTTGTCGCTTCTATTTACAGGTCATTGGGAGAAAGCCGGGCCGAGTGAAGTTGCTGAAAGCGTGAAATAGAAGTCACAATATCACTTTTTGAATGGAAACTTTTCAAGATGGATGGCGTGGATTTGGTTTTACGTCACTTTGAACACAAATTCAGTTGTATCATAGCATCTCAGCTTCATATGAGAAAATTGCAGCTGGGCACCCATGAAGGGCCACCTCCTCGTGGTGGGTGCTGGGTCACGCTAAGCGCCTCTTCAACCCCCGTTGTGGACCCGGGGGATATTAGGTCCACCAACCCGTTTGCCGTGGGTTGCGCCCCTGTGTCGGTGGAGGACGGATTCTGGTGGTTGAGGGCAATAGGATCCTGGAACCGTGTTCCTGTTGCCCAACACACCACTTCGACCCTTACTTCACCTAGACGGGTGGTAGAATGGGCCCGGTTCTACCAATCGGCTGGTCATGCCAAGCCCTGTGCATGAATTGTATGCATATCATTATTTGATTCTATAATATGTTTTGATTGGTCTTGGCCAACGTATTTACGTTGTCAAAATGAAATCTGCCTAGAGTCTCATGCCAGAAGGCGGTGGCTCATGGGCCAATTTGGTAATGTTGTCCTCCGAAATCTGCATGTTTCCAATTTCTTGTTTTGGGCGAACCAACCAAACATTTACTTTGGTAAACTAACGCAGCTTTTCGCGTCATATTTGCTGAAGTATACCATCCCTGTATCCCCGGTGTTTGCATGTTGGAGATCCGATGCTATTAAACACCGCTCTTTTGGCACTCCATGGTGGGTGGGGAGCAGGGATGCTGAATCACATTACTTTCACTATGGCTCAACAAAACCCTGGTTCAAATAGATCCAAACGTAGACATGTAGAAACTGATGAAACTGGTCACAATGTAAATGTCTGTCCTGTACTTGATTCATGGGCTCGATTTGTTGTTATCGAGGCAGCAGATAAACAACCAATTAAACTTAATCCATTCGCGATTTCAAAAGCTGTTTCAGGAATTTGTGGCGAAGTGAAGAACGTGACACGTCTTCGAAGTGGATCACTGCTTATTGAGTGTTCAAGGAGACAACAATCTGAGAACTTGTTATCACTTAAAACATTTGCGAACATTGAGGTTGCTGTGTCCATGCACAAAACCTTGAATTCTTGCCGTGGCATTGTTCGCGACAGAGCACGTTGCCTGTCCGATATGTCTGAGGAGGAAATCGCGACTGAACTGAAAACCAAGGTGTGACCACAGTCAAACGTTTTACTATGAAAACACGAGACGGTGACATAGTTCCGTCTAGTACGTATCTATTCACATTTTCATTGTCGGTCCTGCCGAAATCAATAAAAGCTGGTTATGTGAACATCGGAGTGGAGGTGTATGTCCCCAATCCACTCCGATGTTTTAAGTGTCAGAGATTTGGACATGGCTCCAAATTTTGCAATAGATCTGCTGTGTGTCACCGCTGTGGAGACGGACACGAGAACACTGAATGCTCAGCTGAAATACAGTGTGCAAACTGTAAAGGTCAACATGTAGCTTCCTCAAGGTTATGTCCTGTGTGGCAAAACCAGTCAAAAATACTAAAGTTAAAACACGAGAAAAACATTTCGTTTCAGGAAGCAAAGAAACTTGTAGAAAATCAGATTCAAATACTGCCTCTAAATAGATCATATTCTGCAGTTGTAGCCCATACCGCTTCTCCTTGCACATCTGTTTCTGTTCAGACTGATCTGTCATGGATCAACTCAAATCAGCCTATCAGGTTAACTTATGTCAGTGATTCCGACACGTTGTCAACTCAAACTGTGAATCATTCTCAAATTGATGACGATGTACCTGATGCCCCCAGTATATCAGTCACAGCTGAACCAGTTGTACAACCTTTGACCAGAAATGAAAAGAAAAAAAAATAGAAAACAGGCAAACAAAAAACCTTCATCTTCAGAGATAGTCGTCCATAACTCCTTTGAAGCTCTTGATATGGACATAACCCCCTCCGTCACAGAGCGGTAGGAATCCGCCCTCACGACGAGACCGTTCACCGATTGAGCCACCATGAATCAATCGTCCAACATAATCCAATGGAATTGTAGAGGATTTAGGAATAACTTTAACGATTTACAGATTTTAATACAGGATTTTACACCATCAGCGATGTGTCTACAAGAAACATATCTTCGAGACACAGACAAATGTGATATCAGAAAATACAATTTGTATAATCACTTTTCTCCTCCAGGTGCAAAAGTCACTGGCGGTTCCTCCATCTTGGTAAGACAGGATGTCCTACATAGTGTTGTTCCGCTTACTACCAACCTTCAGGCTGTTGCAGTTCGGCTAACATTTCACATTGCCTTAACACTCTGCTCTTTGTATATCCCACCCTCCTCGACTTTACAGCAGACAGATCTACAAGCTTTATATGATCAGCTGCCCAAACCTTGTGTCATCATGGGTGATTTAAACGGGCATAACCCTCTATGGGGAGGTACAAATATAAATAATAAAGGCAAAGTTATTGAAGATTTTGTTTCTGATAATAGTTTGTGTATTTGTAATGATGATTCAAGCACCTATTTACATCCTGCTACAGGAACTTATTCCACTCTTGATTTGTCACTCGCTGATTCAAATATTTACAACGAATTTGAATGGTCCGTTCATGATGACCTTTGTGGAAGTGATCACTTCCCAACTGTCCTACAAACTATAAAACCGGATGACGAACCATCTTTATCACGATGGAATTTTACGAAGGCAAATTGGTCTTTGTATGAAACATTGTGTATGGATAAATTAATACCGGACAATTTTAATAATGTATCAGATCCTATAGAGTTGTTTTCAGCTCTGTTGAATGAAATTGCTGACCAGTCAATTCCTAAGTCCTCTGCAACTCCTCATATTCGTAAGCCATGGTTTAACAATGACTGTAAACAAGCAAGGAAGTGTAGGAAGAAAGCAGAAAAGTATTTCCGCAGACATCCTACAGTTCATAACTTCAATAATGTTAAAATTACAAATGCCAAGGCGCGACGTGCTTATAAACAAAACAAGCGCCAGTCTTGGAGGAAATATGTCTCCAACATTAATTCGCGCACACCCATGTCCAAGGTATGGAATATGGTCCAGAGAATAAAAGGCAAAGGTTCCAAGTCTTCTGTTAAACATCTTAAAGACGGTGATAAATTGATAACTGGTAAGTGTGATATTGCTAATAAAATTGGTGAAACTCTTTCCAGAAATTCTTCATCATCAAATTATATCCCTGACTTTCAGAAATATAAAAATCGCCAAGAAAAACAAAAAATTAATTTTGATTCTAATAACGGTGAAGATTATAATGAAGTATTTTCATTACATGAACTACATACCGCTCTCGAGCAAGCTCATGATACTGCTGCTGGTGATGACAACATTCATTACCAGTTACTAAAGCATCTGCCTCAATCATGTCTTTTGACACTTTTAGAAATATTTGACCATATTTGGACTTCAGGGAATTTTCCTCCTTCCTGGCACAATGCCATTGTAATCCCCATATTAAAGCCTGGTCGGGATCACACAGACCCCTCAAATTATCGCCCTATATCGTTAACCAGTTGCGTTTGTAAAACCATGGAACGCATTGTGAACAATAGATTAGTTTGGTATTTGGAAACCAACAATCTAATTACAGATATTCAATGTGGTTTCAGGAAAAACCGAAGTACTATTGACCATTTAGTACGATTAGAATCCTATGTTAAGAATGCCATTGTTAATAAGCAACACGTAGTATCAATTTTCTTTGATCTGGAGAAAGCTTATGATACTACTTGGAAGTACGGCATTTTGAAGGATTTACATGATTTCGGTTTGAGAGGTCGTTTACCTCGTTTTATCTCACACTTTTAACAAACAGGCAATTTCAAGTCCGAGTGGGTTCAACCCTGTCTGACCATTACCATCAGGATCAGGGTGTCCCACAAGGCAGTATTTTGTCTGTCACGTTATTTAGTATTAAAATAAACAGCCTGTCAAGGGTTTTAAATGATTCAATTGATGGATCACTTTTCGTGGATGATTTTAATGTTTCTTGTCGTGGTAAAAATATGCATACAATAGAGAGGCAACTACAACTATGTCTCAATAAAATTCATAAATGGTCAATTGAAAACGGTTTTAAATTTTCTAAATCCAAAACTAATTGTATACATTTTTGTAGAAAATATAAACCGCATAAAGACCCGGAACTGTTTCTCAATGGCACTCCCATCAAAGTTGTAAAGGAGGCCAAGTTCTTGGGTTTAATTTTTGACTCTCATTTAACGTTTCTGCCGCATATTAAATCTCTTAAAACTAAATGCCTGAAGGCACTTGACTTGTTGAAAGTTGTTTCAAATTCTAAGTGGGGAGGGGATCAAGCCACTCTCCTACACCTATATCGATCATTGGTCCGCTCGAAACTTGATTATGGCTCCATCGTATATGGTGGAGCCTGCAAGAGCAACTTAAAACTATTAGATTCTGTCCATCACCAAGGTCTAAGACTTTGTCTTGGATCCTTTAGAACTTCTCCTGTTGACAGTCTCTACGTCGAGGCAGATGAACCATCTCTTACACAACGCCGTATAAAATTGTCCTTGCAGTATATAACAAAACTTTATTCTAACGAGTCTAACCCTGCATTTAACTGTGTTTTTCATCCTTTTTATGAGGATTTATACAACAAAAAACCTTCTCTTGTTCCACCTCTTGGTTTAAGAATTAAACCATTCATTTCTGATGCCGGCGTTGAGCTGGAAACTATAGCTCCTTCCCGTCTTCTTTCTTCTCCTCCTTGGCAGTTGGTTAGACCACAAGTTGACCTAACATTAACAGCATTTAAAAAAGCAGAAACTAATGAATTACAATATAAACAAGAATACAATCAATTAAAAAGTAAATATAATACATATACACCCTTATTTACAGATGGGTCCAAGGATGGTGGCGCGGTGGCATGTGCCACTGTCATTGGATCCAGAACCATCTCTTCTCGTTTACCAGATAACAGCTCTATTTTTACAGCAGAAGCAAACGCCATATTAACAGCATTAAAATATATTAAAAACACCCTAAATATCAACAATATATCATCTTTTCTGACTCTCTTCTTGCCTTCAGGCTATTAAAAATATTTCTTGTAAACATCCACTTTTATTAGAAATTATTGAATTATATAATGAGCTTGCTACTGGCCAATGCGACATCGTCTTTGTTGGCTACCCAGCCATGTTGGCATTTCTGGGAATGCAATGGCCGATCTTGCTGCTAAGGCAGCACTTCACAAATCTGTGACACCACTTCTTATTCCATACTCTGATTACAAAGCCAGCATTAGAACCTACATCCGTGATCTGATGCAAAAAAAGTGGGACACCCAGGTAGGTATCAATAAATTACATGAAATAAAACCCTATATCGGTTACACTTACTTGGGTTGTCAGTCCAGATTTGAAGAGGTCATCATGCGACGATGTCGTATTGGCCACACTAGATACACTCATGGGTGCCTATTGCAGGGTGAGGATCCTCCGTTTTGTATCCCTTGTGATGAGAGAACCACGGTCAAGCATGTCCTGCTTGACTGTGTTGAATTCTCCATCATAAGGGGTAGATATTTTAATGTCAAAACAATAAAGGACCTTTTAGTAATGTTAACTATCATTTAATCATTGATTTTTAAAGGAGATAGATCTGTTAAATGAATTATGATATATGTTTTGTAGATAGATAAGGTTTTATAATTGGTAGTTTAGATTATCAACTTAGATTGTTAGTGGCTGTACCCTCAAAGGGGTTGAAGTATTGTAAAATTATTGTCCTCCTGAGGGGTACGTAAGTCCCAACACATTTAGAGTAAATTTAGGCTTACCACGTTTTTAATCGTAGAATATGTGTGCTTTTAATTTATGGCTAGATTTTTCTTCTGTCGCCAATGGCTGAAGGATGGTGTAAACCAACTAGGATCCATGTAGGTAGCAAAAGTAATGTAAGTCCCCATGGATCCTAGTATGGTGATCTACCTTCAGTTATTGGCGATCTATAGTCCGTTTTTATATTGTATTGTCATTTCAAATTAACATATTTTAGTTTAATTGCTGGTTTTACAAACATATCTGTGATATTCTAGTTGTTTTACTGCCCTTCGTTGGCAGGTTTTTTATATTATACACATATTCCATTTCAATCTCAAATGTTCTCGTCACGATATGGCTGAAATATTGCCGATGTGACGTTAAATAATAACTCACTCACTCACTTTTCGAGTGAGTGAGTGAATTAAGATTTTAAGTCACATCGGCAATATTTCATCCATATCGCAAGATTTCGAATACTGATCATCAAGATTTAACATTGGATTCCTGATTTACTTGGATTGAACACAGTTTTCAATTGGGAAATGCTTTGGGGACAATATATACCGGTAGAAAGTCGTGTGGTTACATCATGTTCGTTCTGGTTACATCATATTCGAGATTATCAAAATTAATACATTTTCCCTTTTTCTCAATCTATCTTCGTGATTTACAGCATGTGAAGACTGACGGTAAACTGGACATTCGATTCATCAGTTACTGGTCAGATGGCAAGGAAAACAGTGGACGCTGCTGTGACAATGAGCTCCCTGATTGGTGCAGAAATAAGTGTGACCCTATGTTTTACTTGCGCATTGATGGGTAGGAACATTATAATTTTTATCGAGAAAACACACTAGCCAGCTATATTCAGTTGGTTACAGTTTCCAATTTGTAGGGACCCGTGATGATCAGGCATAGAATAGATCTTCAGTAACCCATGCTTGTGTTAAGGGGTGGTCAGGCTCGCTGACTTGGTTGACGCATGTCACCGTATCCCAGTTGCGAAGATCGATGCTCATGTTGTTGAACACTCAACTGTATGTTCCAGCCTTGAATATTTACAGACCGCCGCCATACAGCTGGAACATTGGTGCGGCGTTAAATAAACCAACCAACAAATCCTCTGACCCATTTGTAGGCTAGTATGTGTCGTTTAAATAATTGACCTTGGTCCCTGTTGCTATAAATAAACATGGATAAGTATATCAAATAAAGGACATTTTTGATGTTGTCCTTATAATCCTTATTTGTTTATCTTCTTGTGTAGTTTGCATTATCACCATGTAATTATAATACTACAAGGATGGCGAGGTTGTTGCTTTTAAAATCGAATATTTTTTGCTTGTCACGTAATTCCGTATATACAACCTTTGAATGCCATTTGTTGTGCACGTTTGAAGCTATTTATCAAAAGAATGAATTCCTGCCATCAATACCTCTTCTGTTTTCAATTCATTCTGGCTACATAGAATTCCTTGTTTTCAATGTAACCTGTCTCTAATGGTGTAAAACAATAAACTCATGTTATTCCAGCCAAGACGGAAGAAAGCCACGCTCTCTTTATAAGACCACAACACACCACACAGAAAACCATAACATAATCCACTTTGGAAGCACCATTCGAGGAACACCAAATCCCTTCATCATACAAGTGCCCAAAGCACTACCGGTAGGATTTTTACATCCATCTATATTTCAGACAGAGGGAACATGTCAAATTGCCATAAATCTGCACACCAACTCACATGAACCTAAACTGTCCTATTAGTCGAGGAATCTAACAAACACAGTTCTCGTGATATCATGTCACTTAGGGGAAGGCTCAGAATGACAGCGGGTCATTGTGTCCTGATAAAAACCTCTGATTCACCCTTCATTATTGAAAAAGTCACTGTGATCAAGCAGTAAGAACCTGGACGTTTGACAACATACAAATAGAACGTAAATGGATATGTTTGTCTTCTTATTGATTCAGGAACAGCGCCATATAGCTGGGATATTGCTGCGGGCGGTGTTAAACAGCACACTTACAAAAACAAAACCATTCAGGTGCATTGAACCAAACTGAACAGTGTTTATACAATTTCTGTTATCCAGTCTTCCATAGAAATAATGGTGCAAGTGGATGACTACGATGACATCTCCGGTGATGACCACATGGACACACTCTCTAAGCTGATCAACATCAACGCTGCTCATACAGAACAGGCAGCTATGTACACCCCATACACATTATCGAGAAGGACAGAGTGAGTCAGATGAAGACTCTGATGAAGAATATGATGATGCAGAGAGAGAACAGAGAAAATATTATTTATATCTTCTTAATTCATAAGTACTTCAAAATAATGCAGCACCAACATAACGTTAATCTGACTGATGCGGGTAAACATCATGCCCAAGGTTTACACGTATTATATAAGTGATTGCTTATGATTCTCAAACTGTATACTGCGATATATTTTCCAGGTTAAAGATTGCAGTCCGAGCCTACTGTGACCCGGACTGGTACGGGTCTGCGTGTGAGAGACATTGCAAGGCCACTCCTGACCACAGTCACTACACGTGCCACCCCTACACAGGAGCTAAAATGTGCTTTGAAGGTATGATCACAAAGTTGGAGGCAACATTGATGTGACCAATTATATAGACCTTTGGGTTATTGAGAAGGAAAAACGAAACGTAGTTACTAATTGACCAAAGGTTGACTTATTTAAAAACTATATTTTGTCAGGTCAAAATGGAAAGTGTTAATTTTTCCGGTTAATCTTGCATCTGTCATTGCCATTTGAGATTTCGACCAGACAGGAATACAAGCGTTCTGTTTATTGTTTCGAAATAATACATGGGTTTATGTCTTGTGTTGTATAACGATCCTTCCGCATTAAAGTGTAGGCAAAGTACATTGTGACCCGATTGTCCAGAAAGCATCATTAAAGTGCAGGGATGATTGAATCAGGGGTAATGATTAATACCCATTTGCTATATTTAGACGTTCATCTGACAGTGATCATCCAGCGGGATATCGGAATTAACAGGATTTCACTGTTAACTCTTTCTGAAACATTGTGCTATTTACCGCATAAACTTCATGTATTTTTAATAAAATATATTGCAGGTTGGAAGGGAAACAACTGCAACCAGGACATCGATGAATGCACAGAAACTGACCAAATTTGTCAACATGGGGGCAATTGTACAAATTCACTTGGTAGTTTCGAGTGCATTTGTGTGGAAGGGGTCAACGGTGAGTCGACTGTGTTCTATCCACTGACAGACTTTCAATGGGAACCAGCAATATAGGATGTATTTGGCAAATTTATGGCAGCCATACTTGAAATCCGTTTCCCCTAACTGTTATGGCTGCGAAACATCGTAAAGAGTTCATGTTGTGAAAATAAACTCCGTAAAATAAAATCTCCACAGTGGTTGAAGGGTTAAACATCGTTAAATGCAACATTACCCGATGGCAAGAAGTCTATCTAATAAGTCGTGATGTTTATATATTTGCCATGTGATTCCTACTCTGTTTAGGAACGCAATGTGAAAACATCATCAACCAATGTGCACTGGAGCCATGTTTGAACGGAGGGACATGTGACGGAAACGAAACAGACTTCAGCTGCGCATGCCCAGTGGAGTGGATTGGAGAGGCATGCGCAGATAAAGTTAACTTCTGTGACAGTTCCCCTTGTAACATGGGCCATTGTACACCAGATCTCTTGACGGCACCTCGATTCAAGTGTGACTGTGATTTTGCGTGGGTAGGAGAAAAATGCAGCCAAAGTGTTGGTAAGTGCACTTCATATATACTTTCTGTTATGTTCATGAATGTTTTATCTTTGAACTGTGGGTGTTCAGTGTTAGTCAATCATTTCAAAATTCACGGCTGTTCAAAATATTTAGCAGTATCACTACAAATCTGTAAGTCCAGTCCAAATCGATTATAAACACTTCAATGTGAATGACATTCTTGTAAATCTGTACCTAGATATTGTAAACATCACGCTCCTGGGTGAGATCGGTCATACAAATAGAGGTGACCTGGCTGATGGCTTGAACAGATTCATCACCGAACTCGGGGGAATTCCAGGAACAGTTTACAACAAATACAAAGAAAGAAAGCAAGTAAGTGACAAGCAAAATGATGTTGACTAGTACAAGATCATATGGCTCAACAGTGACTTTGATATTTTAATGTTCCGTCCTGCAGTTGAGTTTATGATTCACTTGTTTTTCAGTTATACTACAACGTACGTACAACTATACTCTACTGTGGAAAGCACAGAAAGAATGCAAGTAGATGCTGCTGAACCGGTCAAACAAACCGTGTTCGAGAACTCTGTCCCTCAATGAATATCATGTTCGTAACAAAGATTGTTTTTTAACATGCATTTCAGTTATACTACAACGTACGTGCAACTCTATTTTGCTGGGGAGAATGGCTCCTTTTTACAGATTGATTCATTAGCCAGAATCTTCGAATCCAACCCTGATGAAATCATCAATGAATATCTGCCTCTTCCGTTGTACCCTCCCCGAGAAGAAGAGAAGGCAACCCTGAAGGTGACCCCCACAATGCCAACAGTGCTGGCCAATGTCTCGCTTCTGTTTGTGTAACCATTATGTATACCATTATTGGCTTCTAGGACCTAATGTAACATTTACTGAGTTTATTGGATTTTTATATGTGAAAAGACACATTCAGCAATATTCGGCGTTCTCTAGTAGTCGGGCACCCATGAAGGGCCACCTCCTCGTGGTGGGTGCTGGGTCACGCTAAGCGCCCTTCAACCCCCTGTTGTGGACCCGGGGGATATTAGGTCCACCAACCCGTTTGCCGTGGGTTGCGCCCCTGTGTCGGTGGAGGACGGGATTCTGGTGGTTGAGGGCAAGGGCTCCAGGAACAGTGTTCCTTTGCCCAATACACCACTTCGACCCTTACTTCACCTAGACGGGTGGTAGAATGGGCCCGGTTCTACCAATCGGCTGGTCATGCCGAGCCCTGTGCATGTTACTTGTTTTTGCACAATATTGATATTTTCTAGTGCTTGCCATGGGGTCTTGGTCAAATCACTTATAGACCTACAATGTATATATTGATTCTACATAGATCAAAATGTAATTACCTAGAGTCTTAATGCCCAGAAGGCGATGGCTCATGGGTCAATCTGGTGGATTTATTGATCTTGAATTGATACTTCTGCTGGAGTATATCATCCCAGTATCCTTGGTGCTGCTAGTTGGACACCCACTGGCATATGGCATTGTCTTCCTGATACTCCGTGGTGGGTGGGGAGCTGGGATGATGAACCTTTATTAACTTACCATGATACCTCCAAAACAACTCAAACGTACTTTAGAAGATAGTACATCTTCTGATGATGACACCGTCTCAAAAAACAAATCTGACCATTGGTCTCGATTTTTGGTGATTTCTTCTCCGGATGATGGTCCATTGAAATTGAATCCGTTTGTTCTATCAAAAGCGATTTATGGTATCGCTGGTGATGTTGTGTCAATGAAAAGGATGCGATCTGGCTGTATCTTACTAGAATGTAAATCAGCCTTTCAATCAGCTACACTATTGGCTGTCAAACATCTTGTTTCCGTACCAGTTACTGTGTCACCACACAAAACTCTCAACAGTTCCAAGGGCATTGTCAGAGATAGAGACCGTTGTCTAGCAGACATGTCTGAGGATGAGATAGCTTCTGAACTGAACGACCAGGGTGTAACGTTTGTGAAACGTTTTACAAGCAGGCAGAATGGTCAAACTATTAAGTTGAATACTTATCTGTTTACCTTTTCTGTTCCAGTTCCACCACCATCCATCAAAGCAGGTTACTGTAATATTGGTGTAGACAAGTACATACCAAATCCACTTCGGTGTTACTCATGTCAAAAGTTTGGTCATGGTGCCCAATCATGTACCAATAGCAAGAAATGTCACCTTTGTGGAGAACCTGCGCATGACACTTTAGACTGCCCAAACAGCCCTAAATGTGCTAATTGTTCTGGGGACCACGCTGCTTCATCAAAATCCTGCCCAGTCTGGCAACTACAACATCAAATTGTTAAACTGAAGCATGAAAAGAGTATCTCTTTGCAGAGGCTAAACGTTTGGTAACATCTGCTAACACTCCAACTGCATCTGTATCATACTCTGCAGTAGTTACCCGTCAGCCTACTAAGACTGTTAAATCTGTAGAGTGCCAGACCGATATCACCTGGGTGAAGACTGCGAAATATTCAATACGTCAAACGAAAAATGTTGCATCTACGCAAACAAAATCACCATCGCGTAAACAATCTCGTTCACCGTCACCTGTAATAGTAAATGCCAGCAAGTCAGTCAACTATTCCCAAAAATCGGATCGAGTACCGAAAGGTCAACGGATCCGGTACAAATATTTAACAAATATCAACTTCTGAGGACATGGATGTCACTCCACACCACCGTGTGCGTCACAATAGTCATTCGCCACGGTCCAGATCCCCCTGTACTACCACCTAATATAACATGAGTCAGGGTAATACACTTATCCAGTGGAACTGCAGAGGACTTAGAGCCAATTTAAATGAACTACAATTATTAGTACAAGATTTTCAGCCATCAATTTTCTGTCTCCAAGAAACATACCTTAAACAGACAGATACATTTGACTTACGTCAATACAATTCTCATCATTCCTTTTCACCCCCGGGTGGCAAAGCCAATGGAGGCTCCTCTATCTTAGTGAGGCAGGGCATAATACACAGCCCTGTTCAACTTACTACGAATCTTCAGGCTGTTGCAGTCCGACTAACTTTACACATTGCATTTACTGTATGCTCTTTATATATCCCTCCATCTTCAAACCTCCAGAAATCTGAACTTCAATCTCTATATGACCAGCTCCCTCAGCCCTGCATACTCATGGGGGGATTTGAATGGACATAATCCTTTATGGGGAGGTAATGGTATTAATACCAAGGGCAAAGTATTGGAGGATTTCATTTCTGACAATAGTCTTTGTATTTTTAATGATGGTACTCATACATATTTACACCCTGCAACGGGTAGCTATTCTGCCTTGGACCTTACACTCACTGATGCGACCCTTCTACATGAATTTTCGTGGTCAGTTCATGATGATTTATGTGGCAGTGACCACTTTCCTACATTTCTAACAGTAAATAACCCGTCTGACGTTCCACCCTCATCAAGGTGGAATTTTTCAAAGGCTAACTGGTCTCAATTCAGTTCGTTATGTACTGAGAAATTGAAACATGCAAAGTTCCAGAATATTGCTGACCCCATTCAGTTGTTTTCAGATGAACTGAATGCTATAGCTACCGATTCCATTCCTAAGTCCTCTGCAAATCCACACATTCGTAAGCCATGGTTTGATGGCGACTGCAAACAGGCTAGGAAAAATAGGAAAAAGCGGAAAAATATTTCCGCAAGCATCCAACTGTACATAATTTGAATAACGTTAAGGTAACCAGAGCTAAAGCTCGCCGTACCTTCAAACAAAATAAACGTCAATCATGGAGAACCTACGTCTCCAAGATTAATTCCCGCACACCTATATCAAAGGTGTGGAATATGGTCCAAAGGATCAAAGGCAAAGGTTCTAAACCGAGTGTTAAACATATTAAGGAAGGAGATCACTTTCTTGAAGATGCTTCCGACATTGCAAACAAACTTGGCGAAACATTAGCTCAACACTCGGCTTCATCAAACTATCTTCCTGAATTTCAGAAATATCAGAAAACTGAGGAAAAGAAAAAATTAATTTCCACTCCGACAACGGAGAAGATTACAACGAAGTATTTTCACTACATGAGCTACAAGCTGCCCTTTGGGCAGGCTCATGATACAGCAACAGGGGCTGATAATATTCACTATCAGCTCCTGAAACATTTGCCTGCATCATGTCTTGAAGTGCTTTTAGACATTTTGATGAAATTTGGACTTCAGGGAAATTCCCTCCTTCTTGGCGAAATGCTATTGTTGTTCCTATACCTAAGCCTGGCAAAGACCATTCAGATGCATCTAATTATCGACCTATATCCTTGACTAGCTGTGTTTGCAAAACTATGGAACGAATGGTAAATAATCGTTTAGTGTGGTATTTGGAAACCAATAATCTCATTACTAATATTCAATGTGGTTTCCGAAAACTGAAGTACTATCGACCATTTGGTACGATTAGAATCCTATGTAAAAATGCAATTGTAATAAACAACACGTAGTATCAATTTTCTTCGATCTGGAGAAAGCGTATGATACTACTTGGAAGCATGGCATTTTGAAAGATTTGCATGATTTCGGTTTAAGAGGTCGTTTGCCTCATTTTGTCTCACAATTTTAAAAGACAGGCACTTTCAAGTCCGAGTGGGTTCAACCTTGTCTGACCATTACAATCAGGATCAGGGTGTCCCACAAGGCAGTATTTTGTCTGTCACTTTATTTAGCGTAAAGATCAACAGTTTATCCAAGGTTTTAAACGATTCAATTGATGGATCACTTTTTGTGGATGATTTTAATATTTCATGTCGCGGTAAGAAAATGCATACTATTGAACGGCAACTGCAGTTGTGTTTAAACAAGATAAATAAATGGTGTCTTGAAAACGGCTTTAAATTTTCAAAATCCAAAACTAATTGTATACATTTCTGCCGTAAATACAAACCGCATAAAGACCCTGAACTCTCTCTAAATGGCACTCCCATTAAAGTTGTGAAGGAGGCCAAGTTCTTGGGTATTATTTTTGACTCGCACTTAACGTTTCTGCCACATATTAAATCCCTTAAAACTAAATGCCTGAAGGCACTTGACTTGTTGAAAGTTGTTTCCAACACAAAGTGGGGAGGGGATCAAGCTACCCTCCTCCACCTATATCGCTCATTGGTCCGCTCGAAACTTGATTATGGCTCCATCGTATATGGTGGAGCCTGCAAAAGCAATCTAAAACTACTTGATTCTGTCCACCACCAAGGTCTGAGACTTTGTCTTGGATCTTTTAGAACTTCTCCAGTTGACAGTCTCTACGTCGAAGCAGATGAGCCTTCTCTTGCCCATCGACGTATAAAATTATCTTTACAATATCTTACAAAACTATATTCTAACGAATCGAATCCTGCATTTCATTGTATCTTTAATCCTCTTTATGAGGATTTGTACAACAATAAATCTTCTCTTGTTCCGCCCTTTGGGGCTCAGAATGAAGCCATTTATTACTGCTGCCGGCATTGAGCTGGAGAATATAGCTCCTTCCCGTCTTCTTTCTTCTCCTCCTTGGCAATTGGTTAGGCCTGAAGTTGACCTAACTCTGACAAAATTTAAGAAATCTGGAACTAATGAATTACAGTATAAACAAGAATATAATCAATTAAAAATCAAATATAACACATACAAATCCTTATTTACAGATGGGTCCAAGGACGGTGGCGCAGTGGCATGTGCCACTGTCATTGGAGCCAGAACAATATCTTCTAGACTACCTGATAACAGCTCTATATTTACAGCAGAAGCAAACGCCATCTTAACAGCTCTTAAATATATTCAAAGACATCCAAAACATAACCAGTATATAATATTTTCAGACTCTCTTTCTTGCCTTCAGGCTATT